AGCTGTAGAGAAGGGGGGGGGGGGGGGGGTTCACTTACCTGGAGATTTAAAGTAGAACTATAGGAAAAACTTTTTTTTTTTTTTTCATTTTTCATTTTGTCAGATGTTTTTTTTTTTTTTTGCCATCTGTGTTCCATTGCAGAGATTTCTCTTCATTTCCTGCCCCATAACAGGAAGTGAGAGGAAATCCCTGCAAATTAAGAGCGTTTCTTGGGGACCCCCAGGTCACCAGAACTATTGTCCCAGTTGGAAGATTTCCTCTCTATTACTTTTCTGGGAACAATCCAAAATGTGGGATTTTCTTTTACTTTCAATGATAATGGTAAACAGGACAAATAGAGAGGATGACAGACAACAATAAAAACTGACAAGAATTTTAATGCATCTCCACCGTCGGAACTATTCTGGTCTCACAGAATTAAACTGGAAGGCCTGAACTAATCTCTATGTAATGTAACATGGTCATGCTGGAAGCCAATTTGTTCTTTATATTCTATTTTCATGGTTTCTGAATGTTTAAAGTTCTGACACCACTGTATCCAAAACTAAAAAAAGAAGTTTTGCCTTTAGTTTATACTTTAAGGCAGTAAACAAGACTGTCATTCCTAGGGTATCCCTGATAAAAGCAGTATAGTGTGGTGTAACATTTTAATGGATAATTCTGTAGGGGCTCATCTGGATTCTTCCTTTGCATAGAATAGTACACCATTCATACTATTTATGTAAGGATAGTTCTGACCCTGTGGCATCCTTCTGAAGTTTTATCAAGGCTCTGGAAAGATGCCATATGGTCGGGAACCATGTGTTGGGTAACTTGTTTAAAGTAGAATTTAAAGCAGAGCTCCACCCAAAAGGGAAAGTTCCCTTTTAAGGACTGCTCCCCCACTCCCCATTAAGAATTGGCACCTTTGCGGAGCTGGTACCCGAATTTGACAGGTACTCGCTCCCACTTCTGGGCCGATCACCTAGGTGATCGGAAACGGAAGGTGTCCTCCCTCCCTCCCTGTAGTCTTTTGGGACATGTGACAGGTCCCAGAAGACTACAGGACCATTCATGAAGCGCAGCTCTACTCGCGCATGCGCAGTGGGTACCCGGCCGCTAGCTATCACAGCCGGGTGCCCACACTGAAGATGCTGGCCTCCTGGAATACAGGGACGGCTGGTGAATTGGGCTGTTGGGCACACACCACGGGACCGAGGGACAGGTAAGTGGCTGTTTTTTAAAGGTCAGCAGCTACAGTTTTTGTAGCTGCTGACTTTTATTTTTTGACAGGGTGAGTGGAACTCCGCTTTAAGGTTATATGACAGAACAATATGGCCAAAAAAAAAAATATTTGCCATTGTGAGAAAAAGGTATTTTTAGGACATATAGCTGGATCTCAAGAATTGGATGATCTTCTGTAATATTTAGAAGTGGCGGTAAGAATTTATCCTACATATTCTGTAAAGTACACAAATAGTCAAAATCTACAGTAAGGTTCAAGTGTTTTAATATGATACATATAAACCACTTAACACCTGTATACGGAGAATGTGTTGGAATGCAGGATTTTAATTTTGCCAGGACTAGATATAAGCTTATGCTTGAAACCTTTTGGATCTTCACAGTGTAGGAAAGTTGTACTATATAGAGAGTGTGACTGTCATGCATCCAAGTAATATTGGTGTTTCAATAGTGTGGGCCTGAGAAAGGTGTGTAGCTATTGCTACTTCACAATTAATTTGTACACTAGGTACAGAGCATCTCCCAGGTTGTTTTGTATACAAAATATTTTTCCTTATTAGTGGTATAAAATAAAACATACCAGGAGTTCCATTTAATATAATCTATAAGTGCCAGTGCTATGAGAATGACCTCTAGGTAGTTTCAGTGCTCATCCTTTTAATTTGCAGTTTTGCTGTCTAGTAGTAAGGTGGAAGGAGCAGGGCCAAGTCAACCATTGCAGCTGTTTGAAATATGCATACCAGAGCACCCTTGGATTCAAACCAACTGGGGGCAGAACACAGAGAAACTAAACAAATATGCAACTACCTGGAGATACTGGCCAGTAGTGCCTTACAAATGTGAGCGGACTGGCCTTGTGAAGTGAGCACTTCAGTTTTATTATATCAAAGTTCAAAAATACCCACAGGTAAAGATTAAACCAAACATATCTGTTATTTGTAAAGTAAATCCTCCATTATACCCTCGACAATGTAATGTTTCCATGAGCTGACACATGGATGTACACGCCAACGTGTTTCTGGTGCGGAACCCCTTTCATCAGACCCACTAAGTTGCTAAGCATTACACCATTTTACAAATTGTTCCTTGTTTAATTAAATAAGCTTGATTGTTAGTAGTGCAAAATTGACTTTTGACTTGAACTTGAAGGTGATGGTCAAAGAAACAATTGTAGTATTATTTGAAAACTTTGTTTGGGAGAATATTCATGCAGGAGTTAAAGACTTAAAGCCATTAGTAAGCACTTAGTGATCAACAGCTTTTAAAAGCAGTAGTAAACTGCCACAAAAAAAAAAAAAAAATATATATATTTTCCCCAGCAGGTTTGTCCCATAATGTGCTAATATGCACCGCATGCTAGCATATTATGACAGACTTCCCTGTAAACGGAGGCCTCCAGTGCAGTGCTGTCACTTCTTCCTCGATGTTTCCATCTTCACCCTGTCTTTCTTCTGGGTTCGCCGGCTCTGGCTGTTTGAGAGGCTGGGGCCATGATGGCGGCATGGCGCTCTGCATTCCATGGCATACTCTGTGCCCTGAATGCAGAGTATCACTGTGCATGCATGGGTGATGTCATCGGCTATTGCCGATGTGAAAACTTTCCCAAACGGTACACATTATTCATTGTATCTACAGGTAAGCCTGATTGTAAGCTTACCTGTAGGTACAAATTCAAAAAGAGAGTTTACTCCTGTTTTAACACATTCTGTCATCTCTCATCTTTTTCTTGTAAAACATTTTTCATCCCTAACCTTTTGGATTTCAGCTTATTTAGCTACTTTGAGATAGAATATTATGAAATGTTTTACTGAAAAGTTAAAAGTCACGTATGGTCATTCTGAGCTTGCACTGCAAGTGCTACATTGGTTAAATTAAAGTGAAATAATACCCTTTTGCAGCACCCCACCATTTACTCTCATTGTTAAAGGTTTGTGAATGTACACAGATAACCTGCATGCTGGTGGAGGAATTATAATATTGGAACTAGATGACGGGAATAAAATATTTTGGTCTCAAACATAACCAACATCTAAACCATTTACCTACCACTTAGATGTAAAATTCCTGCTCCATCTGAGCTGCCAATGCCCCCCTTCCCAATTAGATTATTCAGATGTCTCAACATCAATGCCTACCAGATACTACAAACATTACCCATTTATTAAGATGCTCTAAAAAGATATTAAAGATATTAAGTTGTTATGTTTCTTATAGGATCCAGTTCTATTATTCTTTTTTTTAATAAGTAGGCTAGCTCTTTTACAAATAAAAATTGCAGTTCTGTCTGCAATATTTGCCATTTCACCATTGTCTATTATCATGCATTATTCCTCCTGGAAAGGCAAACTGGAGTAAATGTAATGTATATTGATTTCTTTACTGTGCATTTGTCATTTCTATTGACTTTTGTATTTAAAAACTATTTTTACTTTTTGTTGTTTTTAAGGAATTACATTTATTGAGAATCTTGAGGAGTATACAGGCTTGAAATGTCTTTGGCTGGAATGTAATGGTCTGCAAAAAATAGAGAATCTGGATGCTCAGACAGAGTTATGTTGCCTTTTCTTACACCAGAACATTATCAATAAAATTGAAAATCTTGAACACCTGCAGAAACTTGATTCGCTTAACCTTTCAAACAACTACATCAGGACAATAGAAAACCTGTGTGAGTAGCTTCAAGCACAGCAAGTACTATTGATAAGTGAGAAATGAAATTGTATGTCTGGGGCTCAGTGAATAATTTTACACAGTTCAATAGGACCTCTTAAAGTGTATGTAAAGCCAATACTATTTTTTAGCCAAGTTAAAACCCTTGTCAGGTTGTTTTTTTGGGGTTTTTTTTGCAGTCTGCGTCCAATTAGGGAGATCACCTTTCACTTCTGGTCCTGGAATTGCAACAGGAAATTAGGGAAAATCTCCAATTTGAGAGTATTTCCTGCATAGACAGTGTCACCATTGGAAAATGTACCTCTTTTTGCAGGTGACATCTCTAAAATTAAGTATTGTCCTCACTTCTTTCTTAGTGACAAAGATCAAAAGGACAAATAGAAGGGTCAATTTCTCCAGCAATTAAAAAATGTTGTTTCTCCATATACTTTAAATAGAAGTATCTGATAGAAAATATTTAACAAACTACACTTAGCTTTCTAGTCTGCCCTGAAAACAGGAACGAACAATAATGGATTTTCCAAGAAGCATAAGCAGTCTTTCTTTTAGCCATTTTTTTACTAGCAAAACTTATAATATGAAGATCCTTGTATGGGATGATCTACCTATCTTTTTCTCTAATTGTGCTCCTGCATTGTTATTCTGCCCTGTGCTCTTCCAATGCGGACTAGAGGTGGCCATACCACATTGTCAGACATATTGCGCCTGTACTGAGCAAAGACATACAGGCAGTGCTGGAACAAGTGATTGTAGAAAGGGAGTGGCTGCAAGATGGTTGCAGAAGATCAGCAATGTCGGGATACAAAAGGTGTAAACACCATGTTATAAAACACTAAAACATAATCGCTGTTTAGGATACAGATTGATTTAGCAGACTAAATGTCATATAGTTAGAGTTTAGATCTACTTTAAGCACAATGAATACAGGCATTGTCTAAGATGAAGGAAGATCTATAAAAACCTGGAGTGCCTATTGGTTATAATTGATGATTAGAACATTTGATGTATGTTAGGAATTTAATAGCCTCATTTTTTTTTTTGTATTCCAGCTTGTCTCCCAGTTTTGTCAACCTTGCAAATTGCACACAACCATTTGCAAACCATGGAAGATGTAAATCACCTTCAAGAATGCTTTAATATCAGCGTTCTAGATCTATCCCATAATAAGTTAGATGATCCTGCTGTAATTGATGTCCTTGAGAAAATGCCAAAACTGGTATGTATATAAAAGTAGATATACATTGTATCCAAACCTAGCCACAACACCATAGCATTTTTGGCACATACAGTATGCACATTACCTTAGGCAGTGCTAGGCATATCACATGTTCTGAAACTTGGTAACGTATAAATGTAGCAGTAACATAAACCTTTCCTGGAAAAATTAATGCAAATAAATCTGCCCTGTATAGAAGACTCTGTATAGGGGAATCTCTCTTCAGGGGGCACACAGCAATAAAAGTTCTTTAGAATCATAAAGAAGGGATATCCATTTTTTTAATGCTTTTTTTTACTGTTTATGACCTGTTGAAGCTATTTCCTCTTACTTCCTGTCCAAATCAAAGGGATAGGAAGTAAGGAGAAATCATACCAACAGCTGCTAAACCACAATAAAAAAAGTGTTCCTATTCCAACTGTACAAGAAGAAAAAAAGTCAGAAAGCAATGTTTTGGAATAATGCCAGATCTTTAAAGTGGTTCTAAAGGCACAAGGTTTTTTAGCTGCACTCAGAAGGTAAAACACCTTCTAGGTGCAGCTCCCCTCCCAGCCCCCTTTATACTTACCTGAGCCCCATCTTGATCCAGTGATGTACATGAGAGCAGCGGCTCTCCTGGGTATTTCTCTCCTCATTGGCTCACACAGCAGCGGGAACCATTGGCTCCTGCTGTTGTCATTCTCAACCAGTGAGCCAATGAGAAGAGATTCGGGCGGGGCTGAGCCACACTGTGTGTGAATGGACAGTGCCCATTCTCAGGAGTGTGGCTTGGGACTGAGCCTACCTGAGCACCCCTATAACAAGAGGCTTGCTATTGGGGGCACTCTGCAGGGGGGAGGAGCTAGGACCGCTGGTGGGAGACCCAAAAAAGAAGAGGATTGGGGCTGCTCTGTGCAAAACCATTACACAGAGCAGGTAAGTATAACATGTTTGGCATTTAAAAATTAAAAAAAAATGCAACCTTTAGAATCACTTTAAGGCAGTAGGAATGAGCTTGCACTTGTTTGGGCCTGAACCCAGGAGCCAGCTTTCATTCTTGGTCTGATGAGCTGCGGGCAAAGGATTTCCTGTCACACAGCTGATGTAACAAAGGGGTAGGAATGCTTGTGACATCATTCACCAGGTGGTCATAATAGGTCAATGATCTCATGAGCATCCATGCCCTTTTTTAACGTCAGCTGCTCTGTGGGGATGCTCTTAACATCACTGACCATGTGGCCATATTAGACCAATGATCTCATGAGCATCCCTGCCTCTTTGAAATGTTAGCTGGACCTGTGCCCAAACAAATGCAACCTCATTCCTACTAGGCTCCTACCTGTATGCTAACTCACTGCTGTTAAAGGATAACTCCACTTTTGTAGGAAAAAATAGCAATAAAAAAATAATATAGCATATACATTTGCTACATAAGTCATATTGTAATTGAATGTTAAATAAAAATTGCCTTTCTTTTTTTTAATCTGCAGCACTGTAATTTTCTGTAAAGTGCAGTGCAATATGACAACCTGGAGCCAATCGCACCAATGGTGTACGGTGCACCCCTAGAAATATAATTTCCTGCTTGTGCGATTGGCTTACTGATTTTCCCAAAAGGCTGACCTAAGATACAAGCAGGGTTTAGGCACCTTTTGAAACTAAAATTTCATTTTTGTTTACTCCCAAAGGGTTAATCATTTCTAAAGAGATGCAGACCCTTCACTTTCCTCATTAGAACACTGCAAGAGCATAAGCCGATTACTAATAAAAAAGCCAGTCCTACTCAGAAACAGGTAGGACTATGCTACAAAATTTGTTAAAATCCCCACAGTGTACATTGACCACCCAGAGGAGATTGCTTTTTCTCATAAAAAGTGGAGTTACACTTTAAGTAAAATCAGCACAGTTAAGCCTAAAAGAGTGTATATGTTTATATACCTGTTTCTACAAAGAGTGTGTACACCACATAACAAGTTGCATCTTTTCATGGTGTGTCAGAACTATAATGTGTCTGTATTTCTTTGTAGCATGTCTTAAACCTGATTGGAAACGAACTCATTAAGAAGATTCCCAATTATAGAAAAATAGTGACTGTCCGCCTAAGAGGGCTAACTTACCTGGATGATAGGCCAGTGTTTCCTAAAGACAGGTAGAAATACCGCATACATTATCTTCTCTGTAATAAGATTCCTTTTTATTCATTTCTGTGTTGGATGGTGGTTATTTTGCCTTGGAATATCATAAAATCACAATAATCTGGATTTACTTTATTGTGATAACCTATGGCCTATTATACTCAAATATTTATTTTGATTTTCCTGCATAAACATTTTGGTTTAAAACAGAACCTACATGAAAATACAAGGTCCCGCTATTTACAGGCCCGTAACCTATTATGTAAAGTGACACCTAAAATAAAAAAAGGAATGCAAAGCAATTCAGTGCAATGCGATTTTCAGCCCATTCATTTAAACGGGCTGAAATCGCACTGGATAGCAAAATGCAGTGCAACTGGATCGCATGATATTGCAGTACCATGCGATCCGGTGCAAGCAAACGCCCTGCTTTTGGAATGTCCTTCGGAATACATTGACACACACCCATACCAGATCACACACTCAGTGCGTTTTGAACATGGTGCTGGAAACATGCATTGAACCACCGTACTGGTGTCAACAGGCCCTAAAAGGAAAAAAAAAATTATCAAAGACCCTGCATTTTGGCTAAACATGAGTGGCATCACTCAGCTTCCCGGGAAAGATAGGTACCCCAAATATTGCAGGAATGCATCCTAGTATTCTTCTGTAGAGCACTCTCACAAGGTTTGAGATCTTCAGATTTTCCAGGATCTCACAGGAAAGTTTAATCAGGCCTAGCCAAAGTGGCCAGAAGTCAGGACCTAAGGTAAGCTTTTTGCTTTTTCCCTTTCTATAGATGTGACTTATGCAGGCCATAGACGAGGGGAAAATCGACCGTTTTTAAATAAAAAAAAATCGTAAATCGGTCGTTAAGACGGCCGATGTTGCCACTAATTAAAAAGAAAAGTTGGCGGGTTTTAGTCCCGTCTACGGCCGTCAATTGATATAATAGCGGTGTCCCTCCATAGAGACCCACTATTATATTTGACAGAAGAAATAGATTATGCAGAAGAAGAAGAGAAACAACATTATATTTATTTGTACTTGAATAGAAACATTTGTATCCGAAATGCACACAAATAGATACAATGTTGCAACTTTTTTTCTTCTCCGTCTTCTTCTGCAAAATCTATTTCATCTTCTCCTCTTTTCTTCTATTCCTCTTGATATTCTATTTCTTCTTCTCCTGCAAAATCTATTTTTTCTATTACTTCTTTTTCTTCATAGTCAATTTATTGTGAAATCGGCCAGAAGAACGGCCGATTTGACCATAAATTACCGCGAAAATCGGCCGATCTAATAAATCGTCCCAGGATTTTCCAGCATGGCCGATTTTCAAAATCTCTTAAAATTAAGAAAAACGGCCGACATTTTTCCCCACTAACGGTACGAATATCGGCCAATTTTTTTTTATCGGCCGATAATTCTGCAAGAAAATCGGAAATCTATGGCCTGCATTTGTGTTTTTGCATGAAATTTGGGTCTTGTAAATTACGTGTGTGTATTTATTTCCACTTCAGATTAATTTAGTGTTTGACAGGCAGTGGGCTGAGATGCCCACCTGCTCCTTTTTATTTCTTGGAAAAACTCTGGTATAAAGACCTTGAGTTCCCAGCTACATCCATCCTGTAAAATAGTGAAATTAGTGTCTTCTTGTCCTACTACAAACAAAAAAAATCTTGAGTATTTTGTATTGTAGAGCTTGTGCAGAGGCTTGGGCCAGAGGGGGAAGAGAGGCTGAGACAGAAGAAAGAGAAAAGTGGGAGACCAGAGAGAGAAAAAAGATTCAAGACAGTATTGATGCTTTATCTGAAATCAGAAGGAAGGCTGAAGAAAAGAAAAGAAAAGAGACGGAAGAGGAAGGTAATGGGACTCTGTCAAGTGTGTACATAACTTATTTTTAAATGGAATACATAGAGATTGATTTGCTAAAGACAAATAGGCTGGTCATTTTGCAAGGAAATTTTCAATTTGATAGGTAATTTTTCCTAATCTTGGTAAATGCGGTTAAAAGTTCTTTGCAAATAACGAATCATGTGCAAGAAAAAAAAAAACAGTATTTTTACTGGCACAGAATTAGTTGATGAAAGTCAGAAGAACTTCAATTAATTTGTTTAACTAGGCGAGAATCCCCTTGCAAAGTGGAAAGACTATTTGCTTTTAGTAAATCAACCCCATAGTATTTTACACACAATTTATTACGTATAAAGTTAATTGCTAAAAATGATCAAATTTTTACATTTTATTTTAGACAACTAAATCTGAAATATATAAAGATTTAAAATATAGTATTTGCTTGTGTACTCTTTTTACCATCTCATGTGGCTCCTTTTTCTGAATTGCTGTGATTGTTGTGTTGTCTGTAAAACCAAATATCTAAAGCTCGAAGTACACACACTGCTAAATTATAGGAGGAGGGATGTTATGCCATCTTTCATTGCTTCATTCATAAGGCTCTGCAAGGCATTTCAATTTGGAGAGACAGTCAGAAAAGGAGCAGCTAGTGATTAGTTTTCAGTTTACAAAACCCAGAATGCTGTGCAAAATCATGCCATGTGTGCACCCCTTATTAAAGTGTATGTTATCCTAAATATTTTTTTTTCTGTGTGTGTTCACATCTTTGTATTTTATAAATCATAGGGGTTATTTACTAAAACTGCATGGTTCTAAATCAGTGGTTCTCAACCTTTCTAACGCCGCGACCCCTTCATACAGTTCCTCATGTTGTGGTGACCCCCAACCATAAAATTATTTTCGTTGCTACTTCATAACTGTAATTTTGCAGTAGGAGGAATAGTGCCACGTCATTGGTGTCAGTGGGAGGAATAGTGCCCCGTCATTGGTATCAGTGGGAGGAATAGTGCCCCGTCATTGGTGTCAGTGGGAGGAATAGTGCCCCCTTCATTGGTGTCAGTGGGAGGAATAGTGCCCCGTCATTGGTGTCAGTGGGAGGAATAGTGCCCCGTCATTGGTGTCAGTGGGAGGAATAGTGCCCCGTCATTGGTGTCAGTGGGAGGAATAGTGCCCCGTCATTGGTGTCAGTGGGAGGAATAGTGCCCCGTCATTGGTGTCAGTGGGAGGAATAGTGCCCCGTCATTGGTATCAGTGGGAGGAATAGTGCCCCGTCATTTGTGTCAGTGGGAGGAATAGTGCCCCGTCATTGGTGTCAGTGGGAGGAATAGTGCCCCGTCATTGGTGTCAGTGGGAGGAATAGTGCCCCGTCATTGGTGTCAGTGTGAGGAATAGAGTCCCATCATTGGTGTCAGTGGGAGGAATAGTGTCCCATCATTGGTATCAGTGGAAGGAATAGTGCCCCATCATTGGTGTCAGTGGGAGGAATACTGCCCCATCATTGGTATCAGTGGGAGGAATAGTGCCCCATCATTGGTGTCAGTGGGAGGAATAGTGCCCCATCATTGGTATCAGTGGGAGGAATAGTGCCCCATCATTGGTATCAGTGGGAGGAATAGTGCCCCATCATTGGTATCAGTGGGGGGGAATAGTGTCCCATCATTGGTATCAGTGGGAGGAATAGTGCCCCATCATTGGTATAAGTGGGAGGAGGAATAGTGCCCCATCATTGGTATAAGTGGGAGGAGGAATAGTGCCCCATCCTTGGTGTCAGTGGGGGGAGGAATAGTGCCCCATCCTTGGTGTCAGTGGGGGGAGGAATAGTGCCCCATCCTTGGTGTCAGTGGGGGGAGGAATAGTGCCCCATCCTTGGTGTCAGTGGGGGGAGGAATAGTGCCCCATCCTTGGTGTCAGTGGGGGGAGGAATAGTGCCCCATCCTTGGTGTCAGTGGGGGGAGGAATACTGCCCCATCCTTGGTGTCAGTGGGGGGAGGAATACTGCCCCATCCTTGGTGTCAGTGGGGGGAGGAATTGTGCCCCATCCTTGGTGTCAGTGGGGGGAGGAATTGTGCCCCATCGTTGGTGTCAGTGGGTGGAGGAATCGTGCCCCATCGTTGGTGTCATTTGGGGGAGGAATCGTGCCTCATCGTTGGTGTCAGTGGGGGGAATAGTGTCCCATCGTTGGTGTCAGTGGGAGGAATAGTGCCCCATCGTTGGTGTCAGTGGGAGGAATAGTGTCCCATCGTTGGTGTCAGTGGGAGGAATAGTGTCCCATCGTTGGTGTCAGTGGGAGGAATAGTGCCCCATCATTGGTGTCAGTGGGAGGAATAGTGTCCCATCGTTGGTGTCAGTGGGAGGAATAGTGCCCCATCGTTGGTGTCAGTGGGAGGAATAGTGTCCCATCATTGGTGTCAGTGGGAGGAATAGTGCCCCATCATTGGTATTAGTGACACCAATGATGGGGCACTATTCCCACTGACACCAATGATACTTACCTTGCAGACCCCTGCTCCAGCCTGGGCTCGCTCGCTCCCTCCCTCTCCCATGGTACCAACACTTACCTGTCAGATGTCTTCCTTCTCCGGCCGCTCTCCTCCTCTTCACTCGCTCGATCTTCGCGGTGCCGCTCGGCTCCTCCTCTCCACGCTCCACCTCTTTGCCGGTGATTGGCCGCCTGTGTGCCTCTCCTGAGCTACAGTGCCGGCGGCCAATCACAGGCGAGGATTGATCTCGAGGTGTGTCCAGATGACAGGGGCGGCATGTCATCCCGCCCACACCTGGAGACGGCGGTGGTGGCGGCGGCGGCGAGGAGCGGTGTCTCGGTTCCTAAGACCATCGGAAATATGTGTTTTCCGATGGTCTTAGGCGACCCAAAGGGGTCGCGACCCCCAGGTTGAGAACCGCTGTTCTAAATAGAAACCAAACAGCTTCCAGGTTTTCTTGCCAAAGCTTTATTGAAAAAGCTGAAGTTAAAAGCTGATTGGCTGTCATGCACAGCTGCACCAGATTCCGAGTGGATCAGTTTTAGTAAATCTCCCCCATAGTCTGTATCATTTTCATGTACTTTTATCTGAAGTACCTGGTTGATCCTGCCAGTCACCTTTCTTCCTTTCCAAATTGACCACACAAAGTAGAGACGTTAATCTGTGTTGGCATAGTCAGTTTTAATCCTTTTGCCTACCTTCAAAGGTACAGGACAGTGTGCAGACATACAGCATGAATGACAGCCAGTGCAACACATAGTAGAAATTTATTTGATCCTCTAGGCCAATATATTCGAAATTTGCAATTGTAGTGCATTTTAAGCCAGCAATGATTAGTTGACAAACAGCAAGGTAAAGAGTAATGTTGTCTGCTGTCAGTTGCGTTAAAGCCTAAATGTAGCTAAAAATAAAAACATACAAATCAGCACCAGGGACATAACTTACAGTTAGTATGGTGTGTCCCTTGTGTTAATTCTTCTCCTTTCAGTGGAAATCTACTTCTGTCCTACTCCATCCACCCCTCTACCATAATTTTCTGGTGTGCTGATCCCTGCCACGGCAGGGATTAATACAGCTAAGGGGCTGTCAGAAACTCTCATGAAGACTGCCTGCCCCTTTCCTGCCAAATCCGCCATTCATAGAATCCATACAAGCCCTTCTATGACTGACAAAGTATCTATGAATGGAGGACAGACAAATGACTGATAGCTCCGCCCCTCCATTCAGAGATTCTGTCTCATTCAAAGAAGCTGTAGTACACTTGTATGCTTTGTAGGAATGGCATATCTGGCAGGAAAGGGCAGGCATAATCAAGCAATCTTGATGAGAGCTCCAGAGAGCCCCTTAATTGTATTAACCCCCATCATGCACTGAAGATTGAGGGGGGTGGGGTAGGACAGAGGAAGATTTCTACTGAAAGGAAAGAATCAACACAAGGGACACATTATACTAACTGTGCTGATTTTTATGCTTTTTTTCTTTGGCTAAACTAAGGCTTTATTACCTGTCATGACTTCTTGTTGACTCACTGTTTAGGTGCCATTCCACAAGATATCACTGTACCTTGTGAGGGACAGATAAACCATTGCAGAAATGAAGAGTCTCGAGAGACGATCCAGAAGTTTGTTGAAGAGACTATGGAGGCTTGTGATGAGTTATATCCTGAGACAGTTAACACGGAAACCTTTCTTCCCAAGAGTCCACTTGTACAGTTCATGGATGCAGACAAGAAGACACAGTATGAGGTTCCAGGCCAGAGGAAACCAGAATCCCCATCTATTTCTGCATCTGACATTCCTCACAATGAAGACAAATTGTTGTCTCAGGAGACACATTTAACAAAGAACAATGAAACCACAAATCAGGGTAATTTAATGGTGAAAGAGCTCTACCTTATGATGAAATTGATAACACATGATGCATAACATATGGTTTACAATTTCTCTTTATAATTGCTTCTTTTTGAGGCAAACAAATGCACTAGTTCCTATAAGCATAGCAGTCTAAACATATATTCTATACATATCAAATGAAATAACTCTGCAGGATATAATTTATTATATAAAATGCTGCCTTTCAATGCCTACCTTCACCCTACTATGAGCCTATTTCAAATAATTTACTATGTGGACATGCCAGCATTATAAAAACATGGTCTGACAAGTCTGATATGGAAAATCCCAAGTGGCCAACACAGAGCCACTCAACCCTACCAACCACCTTTGGGTTAAATTGGAATACCAATTGCAAACAAATTCATCACATCCAACAGCAGTGTCTCATCTCACAAATGCTATTTTTTGCTGAACAGGCTTAAATTCCTATGGATACACTCTACAATTTTGTGGAAAGCTGCTTAAGAGAGGTGGATTTTGTTATAGCTGCAAAGGGTATGTCTCGTTAATTCCCATGGTTTTAAAAAGGGATCTTCAAAAAGTCAAACATTTGGCTATATAGTGTACATTTTAATAATATTAGTAAATCACTCTAAACAAAAAGTCCCGTATCAGCACACTTCACCCCTACCCTTAGAGGTGTATAAAATATACAAATAATATGCTAGTGATAATAATAAATAATGACCCTTATCCCCAATTAGTGCATATAAAAAAAAAAAAAAAAAAAGTCCTCAATCCAATAGCCCAAAAATTTATGAAAACCAATGTCCCTTAAAAATCAAAATTATGTCCAAAAATTGTCCACAAAGTGATAAACTCTTCAAAGTCTTGTAAAAGCTTGGTTTACCTCAAACAAAACAGAAATAGAAACCACATAGTGCATTATCCTTAGTATATATACATCATATAACTCAACCAGTGATACTTCACCAAAGTGAAACAAAAAAGTGTAAACAGCAAACGTGTACCAATACACTATATATAGTGAAAAGCCGTGTAGGTGAATCACTCTTTAAAGTGCTTAGAACACACAAATAAATCACGTCTACTGCAGTAAAGGAGTGAATACCCTTACCAATATGTATAACACTTTAGGCCTTAGATAATAATCCCCAAGTTGACTGTGTGGTGGGACGAATGATATTCGGCCAGTATCCTCACTTCACCCTCATACTCCAATGTGGATCCATCCACACTAGTTACTCAGACCAGTTTCATCATAACCACCATCCCGATATCGATATATGTATACAAAAAAATATATATAGTATAATACCGCCACACACTCGGATCACAAATTTTAATGGTGCTGCTTACAATGTAAAATCTTTCTTATCGCATGTTTGAAAGTATGAAAACCTTAATGCCGTCCCAGAGTCCAAACCGCTACAAACAGTCTCTCTTCCACTCTCCAAGATGGCCGCCGCTCAACTTCCGGTTCCTCGTTTGCGTCTGACGTCACTTGCGTCTGACGTCACTTCCCTCTGACGCGTTTCGTCATTGGACGTAATCATAAAGGGTGCGGTTGTCAGACTGGGACGCTTCTTTATACTCCTCCTCTCATGACGGTGATACCGCGATCTCCATCTTTGGAAGGGGCATTGCTCTGCCCTTGACGGAGACCCAAAATCACATCGTGTACTGGCATATAATATTACAATAGCATCGGTATGGACTCCATCTTAAGGAATGGCAATGCCCAAAAGATTGCAGATATAAACCCACCATGAGTATAAACTTATATAAGCTACAACCCCCGGATAAAATCATTCAAAAATTAAAAATACATGTATAATATGTAAATGATATGCAAATACTATCTATAGCACTCCATATCTATTAAGATGACAATTACTTAAAATATAATTAAAATACATCTATTATATACTCTAAAATATGCATGGAGCAACCCCTAACTTACTTCACACAGTACCTCCACATATATTATATCTAAGGCCTAAAGTGTTATACATATTGGTAAGGGTATTCACTCCTTACTGCAGTAGACGTGATTTATTTGTGTGTTCTAAGCACTTTAAAGAGTGATTCACCTACACGGCTTTTCACTATATATAGTGTATTGGTACACGTTTGCTGTTTACACTTTTTTGTTTCACTTTGGTGAAGTATCACTGGTTGAGTTATATGATGTATATATAGATAATGCACTATGTGGTTTCTATTTCTGTTTTGTTTGAGGTAAACCAAGCTTTTACAAGACTTTGAAGAGTTTATCACTTTGTGGACAATTTTTGGACATAATTTTGATTTTTTAAGGGACATTGGTTTTCATAAATTTTTGGGCTATTGGATTGAGGACTTTTTTTTTTTTTTATATGCACTAATTGGGGATAAGGGTCATTATTTATTATTATCCATTTGTATATAGTGTACATTTTGGTGACTTCATTTTAAACTGCAAATCTGTGTCATGACTCAGATAATATGTTTAGTCTTTCAAGACAGGCCACGGGTCAGTGTATTTGTGAGACAAACGTGACACTCAAATGGTAGGGGCCCCCAGCTTTAAATGTGGAGATGAGCCAAGGACAAGCAACCCAAAACTTGACATGTAGGCGGTGCAGCCGTCTTCGAATAGGGGAATTCCAGTACTACAAGAACAGAAAGGACACAAAAGCCTAATGCATTATGTTTGGGTACTTTATAGGTGAATTAGATAAAAACATACTCACAAGCCCAATAGTCAAAAGGCATTAAAGTACACAAGCACGAAATGTATTTGTGCGCCTAAGGAAACGAATGCAGTTTAACATTGCATAACAGTGGACTTTAGTATTTTCCACCTGAAGCTTCAGATAATTTAATTGTATCCCACTTTGTTCATAGCTTCATACAAAGACATGAACGTGGAAGGCTCCCTGACTACTAGTCTTGTTGATGCTGAAGATATTGAAACTGTCCCTCTGAAAGTTACAGAAAAGCTTTACCTTGATGTAAGTGTGAATGAATTATATGTTATTTTTTTGTTTTGACTGATGTATAAAAGATGGTTCCGTAGGTTGTTTTTGTCCATTTATGATTTTCAAAAGGACACACTGTTATCACAATGCTGATTTTTCTTGTCTAATCAAATTGAGAAATGACATGGCATAATACATCAGATGTTAAAAGTACACACACATAAGCAAATCTACAAACTGTGAGCAAGATAAAAAAAAGTTTAACACAGAGACACTTTGGCTGATTTACTTAAAGCAAACAGGCTGCAAGGGAATTTTTCCTTAGTTTAGTGAATGAAGTGAAGCTCTGCTAACTTCCATAATCTAGTCATGTGCAAACAATATACTGATTTTTTTTTTTTGCACATAATTGGGTATTCTTTGCTTTGCATTCCTTTGCAAAGTGAACAACAGCCTATATGCCTTTAGTAAACCCTATTAAGTTCCTGAAGTAAATGTTACAGTAGATCAGTCCAGTTGTTACTGTGTGATTAACTAGCGGTGAAATTAATATAAAATGCTTCCTTGTGGTAACATAAAAGAAAACACACAATGGACATGGAGTGTTGGCACAACAACAAATGGCCTAGAAAAATGTTTAGCTTTTAACTCCGTTTAATAAAGTGTCCAGTCTCCAATAAATCTGTGAGAGATTTCCACATTACAGCACTTTCAACAATCTTAAAATCATATGTCTGCAGCATGGAACCAACTCAATGAGGTTGATTTACAAAAGGCAAATGGGCTGTTCACTTTGTAAGTGATGTTGCACTTTGCATATGAATTATCCCCAGAGCTTAGTGAATGTGGTGAAATTTCGCTTTGCAAAGAATACTCAATCACATGCAAGGAAAATAAACACAACAGCATTTTTGCTTGAACATGACTGATTACTGTATAGTGCTTTTCCTGTGATCCCCCAATCCTTACCTTGTCCTGTGATCCTGCGATGCCCTCCAGCCGATGCCAGCATCCGTCTTCGGGGTTCCATTCCCTGCGAGCGTCAGTACGAAGGGGGCAGAACCAGCGGGAGATTCAAAAAAGTAAAAATATGACATACACACAATACATTGTAATCTGTTAGTATTACATTACTGTATCAAACCATTTCACCTAAATTTTGTCCCTAGTGCTTTGTCCTGTGCCCTGCCTGCACTTTTACCTTTCTTTCTGCCTGGAAACTTGAGAACGTTCATGGCATCCAAAAAGCGTCCCTTTAGCTCAAAAGCGGTTTTAGACCAGCTAGAAAACAGAGATAGTGAATTAGAATCACTTGCAGAATTGAGCGATGATTAGTGGGGAAATTCGTCATCAGACACTGAAAACGATTCTGCAACTGAGCTCAGTGATGTGCAAACTTGGTGCTCTATTTCAAATTTCAGTGTTTTTGGTTTGATTACATTATTGAATTAAATGTATTATTATTATTTTTTATAATTATTTATTATATTATAATTTATGATTTCGTGTTTCAAACTTCATCATGCCCGGGATGTTTACTTAGACTCTTGTTTGGACAGATTTAAGTGAGTTATTCCTAAGAATTACAGGCCTACAATAAAAAAAAACAACAAATTTCCATGCAAAATAATGTACCGCTTTGACGTTCAAAAATATAGATTAGTTAAACCGCCAGGGAGGTTAAAGTCTATAGAACCAAAAACACAACTTTTTGCGTTTAAGAAAGTCCCTGACCCTTTTCCAAAAAATGCACTGGGTGACCGGGTGAAAACACGGAGATGTGAACGAGTCTCATAGGAAATCATGGTTAAATGGACTGTAAAACCCAGAACGCTGTGGAAAACGCTTAAGTGTGAAGCTAGGGTTATAGTGATTGGATTGGCTAAATTTCTCTAACATGCTGGGTAATATCAATTGTTAATAGCTTTGAAAATAGTAGGTAAGAATAACTGCTAATGCTTTTTTTATAATTTAGGATTTGCCTGATTTGGAAGATGTGGAAGATGATGAACTCTCTGGAGATCTACAAAATAACACTGGACATAACAAGGTAAATACCTCAACTATTTTAAATATAGTTATTTTTTTATTACCAGAATTTATAACAAATATTTAGCATTGCAAATTTGTTAGTTATTGCTGGCTTGATGCTGCTAAATCTGGCTTAAGCATCTAAACATCATTGACTTCAATGCATGACTGGGTTAATTAAGGTGTTGGCCAGTCACCTTATGTGAGCTCACAATTGCTTCAACTAATGTACTTAACGCCCTCCTATAGATCTATGAAAAGACCTATGTCGAAAAGGAGGTCAGTTGCAGGTCAGATTCACCTGTCAATGAATTCAAAAGTTTTCCAAACTGATGTAATTGACTTAAGCCCAAAATTCTTGGTCACACTCCTTTAGACGTGCAGAGATGGTCTTGTGGCTGCAAATCAAACCCACAAAGCTGCAGAAAACATGGCTATGAAAAGTGTATTTTCTGTCATGATTACCTGGGCACTATGAACTTGGAAGTATTTAGATTTAGCATAATACTAATCAAAAAATATAGGTGTGGCAAGCATTTTGAAAAGTGTGTGTCTCCACAGATCTCCATGGTAAGAAAATACAGTGCCTTGAAAAAATATTCCTACCCCTTGAAATTTTCCACATTTTGTCATGTTAATGCCCTGCTTACCTTTTGTATCTTCAGCAATCACTGATATTGAAATATTTATACCAAATTTTACATAATTTATGAAAAAATTAAACAGAACTGGTCCCAGGACAGAGCCTTAGGGTACCCCCACTTACAGCTCTAGAACATCCAGAAGATATTTATCACTACCCTCTGGATGCACTCCTGTAATCAGTTTTCTATCTAAGTACATACACTCTTGTCAATGCCAACAGACCTCAGTTTGTAAATTAAGCATTTACGGGGTACTGTATCAAATGTTGTAGTGAAATCTAGATACACCACATCCACAGGACTTCCACTACCCATATTAAAGCTCACTTCCTCATAGAATGTTAACGGGATGGGCTCGCGAAGTCAGTCTTTCATAAATTCATGCTGGTTAATACTAATGATACCATTGTCATCAGCAAATTCTTGGATATTATTATTGTGGTTACTGACACCAATGCTCGGGCTTATTATTGCAGCCACTGTCACTAATGTTGGGGTCTTTTATTAAGGTCACCAGCACCAATGATCAGTCAAACTTTCTCTTCAAAATGCATTGCTGTTTGTTTGAAAAATATGCAGCAGGCCCAAAATTTTCAGGCAATAGGGTGTGTTACAGCTCACCAATTTTAAATTGGGCTGCCTAAGTGTCCATAATGCACCTGAACATTCAAGCATTTGCTGCTTTTGTTTAGCCCACTTGAAGTGTCTGGTCCATTTACTATTTTTAAGTCAGTCACCATTGGTGTAAAAAGTATGGTTTCACTCTGTCCAGTAATTTCTGTTTTAAAACAACCCTGTCCAGTTATTTTATGTTAGACTGAAAAATTTGTAAAAATTTTTTTTTTTTTTTTTTAACAATCTAATATGATAATTACAGCATTAAACTGAAGGCACTGAAGAGAAGCCCTCCAACTGAATGTGACCACTATGACTTAGCTGACATACTCTGATTCCAGATTGTCAGTGGGGATCCAGGCTGTCAGTGCCAGGATTGAGAGCCACCAGCTGCATTAGGTGTTGACTGCTGGCTCTTACAAGGAAAGAAAAAATAAATGCGTCACCCATGGGACATTATGCTGGCGACCATTTATACACAGTGGGTAGGAAGGGGTTCAACAAAGTCACTCTGCTAGCTGATATTGTGTTTTCATTATAGATTATTGGTGTTTACAAAGAAATGGTTTAGTCAGGTATGCTATAGAAAATGCTTTTATTGTAGATATTGAATTCTCCAGGGATATCTGTGGGCTTTAAGAGAATAAGTCACCCACATCACTTTGTTAAAGGTGACTGAACGTTCAATAGAATGTGATTTTTTTTTTTTCCCCAGGGGGAGGGGGGGAGGCCCTTATTCAGTTACACCATTGGCATGCACATCACCTTTACTTTGTTCATGTCTTGTGGGTTTTTTCTTTAATTTTACATTTTTATCTCTGTTTGTAGAAGACATATCGACCAAAGATCGAAGTGATATCTGGGGACAGTGATGACAGTGAAGGTGACTGGGAGAGAAATGATGTGAAGCCAGAGGTTTATGAAAATGTCCAGCCAATGCATCCTGTGCTAAATATATTCAGTAAGCCCAGTGATGAGCTACCCCTGAGGGAAGTCCATCAGCAAAAACACAGAGGGGTGGATATTGGGCATTTGAAACCAAGAGACAGACCTCTTATTCAGGAGCTGGACGACAGGCATTCGAAAGAGGATGATAGAGCACAAGATAATATTGTGGATTGCAGCTCTTGCATAGAATCATTGAGTGCACTAATTTCAGGTTAGTATAGGAATAATTTATAATTATTTACAGATATAAAGAAACTGTAGTCCTTATATTTTTTAAAGAAACATATACTGGCAGCTACTTCTAATATGAATACCATAACCTGGCTGTTAGACTATGTAATCCTAGGGGCTTAGATGACAGTTTCACTGCCAAGTTCTGTTCCATGTATCAAGAGCCCTGACAGTGGCTCATGTATGAAGGAAGTCTGTCAGTTCTAGCAAAATAGGATTGGTAGAAAAAAATCACCAGATGCAACAACAAATTCTGGTCTGTTCTGTCTTGGTATTCCCTACTTTATAAATTCCACTGGGAAGGTGTTGGTGCTTTTTTTGTATAATGGAGTTTTGATTTTCGCTTTGCCTATGTCTCTCTTGATATGACTCACTTTTTGGATTCAGCTCAAAGAATGTCTGTCCTCTATAAATGCTGGATTTAGGATAGTCACAGCTCATCTTAAAAGTAAACAGGGAAATAATAAAACTACCTTTGCAGTGGGTCCCCCACGCTGCACTGAAAGGATCTAAAGATCATTTTTGTCTAGGGTACCAGCAGTGGCTTCCCTAGGGTTGGTGTCACCCGGTGCGGTAACACTTGGTGACACCCCCTCCGATGATCCCCGCAGGATGGGTCGGATCTGAGGATTGAGCATAATGGATCAGAGTCTGATCCATTATCCTCCCCAATCCGCAGATCCGATCCATCCTGTGGGGATTGTCGGCTTGCAACCTATACGGGGTTTGCTGATCTCTCCACAAAAAGGTAAGTTTTAAAGCAAGACCCCCCCTCTCTCTCTCTGTCTCTCTCTCTCTCTCTCTCTCTCTCTCTCTCTTTCTCTCTCTCTGTCGTTCTCTCTCTCTGCCTGCCCTTTTTTCTCTCCCCCCCCCTCTCCCCCCTACCTACTACATGAAGCTGCAGTGCTGTCACTAGGGTCGGGGATTACACACTGACCTTCTGCATACTCTGCCTGTCCCTCCAGCTCTCCGACTTCAGCACCCATGGCAGGGATGTGGACCCGCCCCTCTGCTGAAACTCCGAGGAGGAGAGGTGTCCGAAGTGCCTGCCTCACTGTCTGTCCCATCAATGCTTGCTTATTTCGGAAGCGGCACTTACAGGGACTGAGCCTCTCATGGGGCCCTGTAGTGACCCTGGGCCCTCGGGCAGTGCGCAAATGGTCAGTCCACCCCTGTCAGCCTGTGGAAAAGGTGTCACCCGGTGCGGCATGCACCCTCCACACCTTCCTAGGGACGCCCCTGGGTACCAGTATAAAGCAGTCCTCCTCCCTGGGCAACCAGTGGCACTGATGTTATCACATACAGTTCAGGACCAGCAGTCCTACATTGTAAGTGAGGATGGCGAGTGCTGTCCACAACCTGGAGTATCAAGGAAAGAGTAGAGCATTGGCTTCCAGAAGAGTAAGTAGTTAAAAAGTAAGTAAAACAGCTTTTTATTGGTAGACTAGGTAAAAACTACCATTTCACCCATATCAATATATTACTATTTGATAGTGAACACTTGTGTTTCCTTCTGGTACCTTTTACTTTCACTCTTTTGTTTTTAATAATAATTAAAAAAGAATTATAAAGCATATGGACTTTTTCAATTATTGTATTTTGCTTTTTTGTAACAGGAGATTTCAACAGACAGGCCAAGACAAAAGGTGGCTGCACTTCAATGTTTACATGCAAGGAAGATGAAGACATTGATTATGGATTGGACTGAGATAATAAATAGTTTATTATTTTCCAAAATAGGTTACGGGCAAGAGGCTCCCCCAACTGCAGCTAATCTGTAGTACAAAAAAACCTAAATTTTAAAAGTAAAGCAGTTACAAAAGAATGGCTTTCAGTGCAGTACTGGTCACCTTACCGTTGTCAGGAGCCCCAATAAGTGCCTGGATATGAACACATGGACATACCTCTGCCGCAGCCTAGTTGCTGTCACATGAAAGTTTATGGGCATACAACAACAGCAAGCTATGATCTGGAATCATTTGGTGTAATCTGGAATCTTTCAATGCTTATTTTACTTTCACACTGTGTTCTTTTGCAATACAGGTACTTTTTACAATCATTTAAAAGTTCCCACAGTACTTTTTCTTGCTCTGTTAGGAGCCGATTTCATTTTTTTTCTTTTCCCATTTTCTATAAGAGAATTACATGTGACAAACCTCCTTCCACTAACAGAACGGTTCCCCATTTGACACAGAAGTCATTATTATGTGTCAGTGCAATGGATGTGCATTTTACTTGAAAAAAAATCAATATCACCTTAAGCCCTGATTCACACTGGTGCAACTTGTCATGTGATTTGACTGTTCCAAATCGCAGGACAAGTCACACCCTATTGTCGGCAATGGAACCGTTCAAATCGGTAAATTGGTCCGTCGTCTGAGTCGCACCGATTTTGAAAATAGTTTCTGCGCTATTTTCAGCGATTTCAGGTATGACTTGCATAGACATCTGTCCATAAAGTTGCATAGATGTCAGGCAATTCGCACCTAAAATTGCACTGACCTGCGGCTTCGAAATCACTCTACCTCAAGTGAAGTAGCGCAATTTCAAGTCTCATTTAGTTTGAACCAAGGCTTAATTTGTTGAGAGATCCTGTTACATAAGCATTGGAACTGCAGAGATGGCATCTGGTTCTGTAATGTAATTTCATCAGGAGCCTCCTCCAACACATGTATGGAAGTTCCAATCAAGGAGCTCCTCCAGTACCTGCATGGAAGTTCCAATCAGTGGTAACGCTTTTGTTTCTATACTGACAGTTTCTCTCAGTTTCAGAGCCTCCTATTGCTCTGCGTAACTAGGCCATCTAATAGGCAGATTGTGACCAGAGTCTATGGTTAAAGGCAAACTCTACTCCCTCATGCTTTTGCATCTCACTTTTGGCTGCTGGAAATTGCCCATCATATTGATGAATGAATAATTAGGGCTGGAGGAGCAGGAGCCAGGCACTTGACCATGGGGACTAGTCACAATTTGCATATCATAGCAACCCAGATTTGGAAAAATATAGATCGCTACTATGATATACTAATAACAGTGTTGTGGTGGTTGCAAAAACTGCCTGATCTTATTTTTAACCTTTCCACTAAAGTGACTCTGTTGCTTCACCGAACAGATGTGTAGAACTTCTCCCCATAAGAGAAATCAGATTTTTTTTTTTTTTACCTTACTAGCAGTGGGTGAGTCTAAACTCTTATGTTTTTAAATGGTACAAACCCCAACAAAGTGGGCAGCATTCAAAATGTTTGAAAATATCTAATGCCTACACCGCCCCCCCTCCCCCATTGCATGCTGTGTTTTTTCCCAGTGGCCTCTATACCACTGCTGTGTCCTGTAAATATATTAACACTTGGTTCAATTCTAACAAACCAAGATAAGGGTCCTTGTATTAAAGCTTCATCAATTGAGCCATTCGTGAGATAAATTACTGATTCAGTAAACTTAAAGACTTAATAAAATAAATAAATTTTCATAAAAGTTCACGTGAAAGTTAATTCAGCGAAATTGTTAGAAATTGTGATCGTGAGTTTGTGAATTGATACAATGACAAAAAAAGGGAGTGATGTGAAATATCACGATTAGGTGGGGATAACAGAACAAAGGTGGAGTGTGTATGTGTGGCAGCAAATTATTTGAAATGTTTTAAGCTTGTAAGGGCGTATGCCTTATACCCATTTAAAACATATGATCAGCGCACAACAAAGCATATGACCTGTCCAACAACCATAGTATCTAAATAGAGTCCATAGTAAGCCTATTATCTATTATATGCCATATGGAAACAGAGAAAAGTGATGGCAGAAAAAGACCCAGTGGTCCATGGAGTCTGCCATGGGGTGTTTTTGTACCTTTTTTTGTTTTTTTTGCTTTGTAAACTTTTTTTGTCTGAGTATAGATCTTTGCTTGTCCCAAGCATGTTTGAAGCTATTTACTGTTGACTGGCTCACTACCTCTGCTGAAAGTTTTTTGCAAGCATCAACTACTTTTTTCAGTAAAATAGTACTTTCTGAGATTGGTTTTGAACTTTTCTCCAGTTAGTTTAAGGTCATGACCTTGTGTTCTTGGTTTTGGTTTCATGTTGAAAAAATACTGCCCTCCTGAACCTTATTCACCCCCTTGATGTATTTAAAGGTTTCAATTATGTCTCCCCTTTCCCTTCTTTTCTCCAGACTGTACATGTTAAGTTCCTGAAGTCCCTCCTTTCACCATTTTTGTTACCCATCTCTGGATTCGTTCTATCTTATCAATATCTTTTTGTAAGTGAGGCCTCCAGAACTGGACACAGTATTCTAAATGAGGTCTAACTAAAGATATATATATATATATAATATATATATATATATATATATATATATATATATATATATATATATATATATATATATGAGTCAGGACCTCTTTCTTTCTGCTGGTGACCCCTCTAGTGATGCATCCTAGAATATATATGTAGCACGAATGGCAGCCATCCCAGGGTAAGCCAATCCTACGAAAATCAGAAGAAAAACGGTGGGGAGAGAGGTGCCTTCTAAGTGCTGTATCCAAATGATGTTTAACCACTGTGGAAAAGCTCTGCTGATTTCCCTCATCCAATCATGGTCAAGACAAGTATCATGATCTGGGGCTGCATGAGTGCTGCCAGTACTGGAGAGCTACAGTTCATTGAGGGAACCATGAATGCCAACATGTACTGTGACATACTGAAGCAAAGCATGATCCCCTCCCTTCAGAGACTGGCCCGCAGGGCAGTATTCCATAATAATGACCCCAAACCTATGACACCTCCAAGATAATCACACAAACAGTGACCTGATCCTCCAGGAAAGTACCTATATGTGATGGGTTGGTGGACCAGGAATCCACAGAAGATTGGTTTAATTTTTTCCATGAGAAAGGTTTGGATTTAATTAAATTTTTATTAAAAAGAAAATGAGAAACCTGGAAACACAAATTGTAGACATCAAAGGAAAATTAGAACCATTTAAGGAATCCCCAGAAATGGGCAATCTCAATAAGAGACTGAACAAGGATCTTGAAAAAGTGGATCAGGAAGTGAAAAATAGAAAGATAAGAAAATATCAGCGAGATTTTAATGATTTTAAAAGAAATCAAGTGTTTAAGTGGCAGTCCTCAGTTGAAGATATACAGTTGTGTTCAAAATAATAGCAGTCAGACATCACTAACCTGATCAATCACTGTTTTTGGGAGAAATGATATCTCTACATGGCAAATAATTTACTAGCAGGTGTAGTAGAGTAATAGAAATCCAACAGACCCAACTGACTGACATGCATGCTGCTGATTCTGTGTAATTGAATCACTAATTGAAAGGGGCATGTTCAAAATAATAGCAGTGTGGAGTTCTATTAGTGAGGTCATTCATTCTTTGAAAAACAGGTGGCAATTATTGCCCTTATTTAAGGAAGGAAGGCAGCAAATGTTGTACATGCTGGTTACAGTGCATTTCTCTCTGAAATTCTGAGGAAAATGGGTCGTTCCAGACACTGTTCAGAAGAACAGCGTACCTTGATTAAAAAGTTGATTGGAGAGGGGAAAACATATAAAGAAGTGCAGAAAATGATAGGCTGCTCAGCTAAAATGATCGCAAATGCTTTAAAATGGCAACCAAAACCTGAAAGACGTGGAAGAAAGCAAAAAACTACCATTCGAATGGATAGAAGAATAGCCAAAATGGCAAGGACTCAGCCAATAATCAGCTCCAGGAAGATCAAAGAAGGTCTAAAGTTACCTGTGAGTACTGTTACAATTAGAAGATGCCTATGTGAAGCCAAGCTATCTGCAAGAAGCCCCCGCAAAGTCCCACTGTTGAAAAAAATATGTGAAGAGGTAACAATTTGCCAAAGAGCACATTGACTGGCCTAAAGAGAAATTTTGTGGACTGATGAAAGTAAGATTGTTCTTTGTGGGTTTAGTGGCCAGAGACAGTTTGTCAGGCGACCCCCAAACACTGAATTCAAGCCACAGTACACTGTGAAGACAGTGAAGAATGGTTGCGCAAGCATCATGATATGGGGATGTTTCTCATACTACGGTGTTGGGCCTATTTATCACATACCAGGGATCATGGATCAGTTTGAATACATCAGAATAGTTGAAGAGGTCATGCTGCCTTATGCTGAAGAGGAAATGCCCTTGAAATGGGTGTTCCAACAAGACAACAACCCCAAACACACCAGTAAACGTGCAACATCTTGGTTCCAGACCAACAAGATTGACGTTATGGAGTGGCCAGCCCAATCCCCGGATCTTAATTCAATAGAAAACTTGTGGGGTGACATCAAAAATGCAGTTTCTGAGGCAAAACCAAGAAATAGAGAAGAACTGTGGAATGTAGTCCAATCATCCTGGGCTGGAATACCTGTTCACAGGTGCCAGAAGTTGGTTGACTCCATGCAACACAGATGTACAGCAGTTCTCAGAAACAGTGCTTATACAACTAAATACTAATTAAGTGATTCAAAGGAAAGCAAAATCTTCAAACATTTTCCAGTTTATATAGTGTATGTTTGAGTTTGTAAAGAAGAATACAAACACTGCTATTTTTTTGAACAGTCTAATATTCACTTTTCTTCAATTTGTTTTAGAGGAACAACACAAATTTGATATATTTTTTTTCATGTTTTGATTTGGAATAGAATGTGTAGTGTTCCCAATGCATTTGTGTGTATGGAAATAAAAGCTATTAGAAGGATT